GGGGGCGGCGGGCGGGCCAGCGTCACGGCGCAGCTCGCGAGGGCCTCCCGGGCATAGGGGCCCCGAGCGCGGGCGGCGGGCGGCGTCGCGGCGCACGCAATGGTGCTGCTACTGCTGCAGCTGCTCGACAGACGCTCCTCCAACGCCACTGCCAAGCGCCGGTCTCCAACAATCTTCGATATCACAAATGACGATGCGCGACGAGTTCCACCAATGCGCCGAAACGACTGACGTTTACACTTGCAAAATCTGGTTTCTAATGAAGATATTCTATAATACTCGTGAATACTGGTTTATTTTTACAGAGACGATTCCATCCACTACAGCAGCTTATGATAAGATGATGAATACAGTTTTGTTGATTGCAGTATTATGAGTGACAGACTCCACCAAATGTTTTTATAAAAGGCTCAAAACCAATGCAACTGCTTTTGATTGTAGTATCATTAGAAAATAAAGTCGCTATCGTCACTTCTTTTCTGCCTTTCTTCAGATCCTTTGCATCAAAAAACGTTTGTGCGTTCGGTGATGACAGACTCCTCCAAATTGTTAAGTGTTTGTCGCCTTTCAACGCCACATGTCGGGATGATTTGCAGAACAGGTCGCGTACGTCTTCCACTCTCTCGGACGAGAGAACAACTCCCTAACGTATGTCCATGACGGAAACACAATGTATCGAAAAACTTTGAGTCGCCACGGTACTCGGCAATTCCTGAACAACTCTTCCAACGCAAACGCACTTAAAAATTGAGAAAGCGAATTCGCACAAGACGTGCTTTCTCAAAAACGCCAGAGAAGAGCAATCGACGATGTCGCCGGTTCAAGTAACAAGGCGATCGTAAGATTCAATGTTCAGTAACGATGACACCGCTGCAGACAGGAGTTGTGTCGTATCCAAATCAACATAACGCGTATGCGCTTGGCCCTGGGTCGGCAGGCAGAGGCCCCCGGCAGGTTTGCGGAGTCCAGCAGCCCGGCCGCAAGCAAGGGGCTGCTGGGGCGACGGTGCTCGACGCCGTGTGCCCTCGTCGGCGGAATCGATCCCTCGATCGCCCTCGCTACGCACTCGGAGCGGAGTGGAACGGAGCGGAGCGAAGCCAACGGCAGACGGAACGCGACCGCGGAGAGTACGTGCCACAGCTCAACTGCGCGGCTGGCGGGGCGCTGGCGACGAAGAAGGCGGCGGCGGCGGCGGCGGCGGCGGCGGCGGCGGCGGCGGCGCGAACCGGAGATAACCAGTCTCACCCGGGCGGCGGCGGCGGCGGTGGCGGCGGCGGCGGGGCGGCGCTCCTCGGCGAGCGAGGCGCTTCGGGGGTTTCCGGAGGCGTTCGGCCGCCTCCGCGGCGCGGGCGCAGGTGGGAGAGGCGCTGCGCGGTCGCACAGTGCGCCGAAATAACTCCCCGAGGTGCGCGATATTTCATAGCAGGTGGGCGAAGGAGGCAGATAGAGCTTTCGGCAGGCGAAGTACTTTTATGACAAAGAGAGTGGATGTATCTGCAAGGAAAGCACTACCACTTGACCGCGTCGAAAAGACCGTAGATACGTTTAAGAGTACCATCAACACAGATATACTTCGCTATATCAAATATAATATACATTTTTAAAAACATATTCATATTGTGGAGAGATATTATAAAGACGTGCATACTGTGCAAGGCATTTCTGTCAGAGATCGATTATTACTGTTCCCGTTCATTAAATTACAACAATAACAATATAACATAATAATAATAATAATAATAATAATAATAATAATAATAATAATAATAATAATTTTTAATAAGCGCAGCAATTATTAACAAATAATAATTGCTTTATAAGAAACGTACCTCTCACTGCGGGAATGATATTGAAGCCAACCGTAAATCCGATTTATTCGTGTAACTCCGCTGACGATAAAAACGAAGGATTGGTTGAGTGGGGAGGGGGGAGAGGGAGCGGGCGTATTTTTAGAACGGCGGTGAGGTGGGGGCCAGCGCAGGGAGTCGCTCTGATTAGAGATCCTTCCGATTAGATGAACTACGTGCCCCTGCACGGCAAAACATCCTTTGTTTTTTGTGCGAACGGACATTGTCTAGGGGTTTTAACATCCTGGAAATTCGTCAAGTAATTGGCAGATAGGACGTCACGATTCTTTTCATTTTAGCGGAAGAATCTGCCGTTACTAATTAACTTCAATTTTGTTTTGAACGCAAAATTGTCATATTCCTCATATTTTTCATTTTTAAGGCTGTTATGTAAAATCAAATTCTTTGAATAACATTTTCAAATACTAATTTTGCTTTTTCAATACTTTTTCAAAACTATCACAAATAAAGCTTTTATAAAAGCAGTGATACGAAAAAGTATCAAGAAAGCAAACTTTGAAAAATAACAATAAGTGCAACAACAAAGAACGTTGTGTTCCTGTTCATTTCAAAAGCATAATCGCAAAGGAGGGGAGAGATTTTCCAGCGAACAGTTAACTTCGAGGTTGCAGTGAATAAATCAATTTCAGTGCCACGCAAAATGGTTTATTTTATCGACACAGGTTAAATATTTGGCAATGTTTTTCAGGCACTAACGGTTTCCAAATCAGACATTTTACTTTCATAGTTCGGAATGATAAACAAGTTTTGCAAAATTAAATTGCCATCTAGACAAGAAATCCCTCTAGCACCCCGGATATTTCCTGATTTTTATCACAATGTAATGTACGAATGTCGAAACCCGAAATGTATTTGCGCGTCAGTTTATAGCTCTCTCGAAAGGATCAAGAGCCTTGACGGACTCACGCGTTTGTTGTACGTCGAAGCGTCAGTGCCCCGCGTTGGCGGCTGGCGGGGGAAGGTGGG